GCCTACTGAAAAGTCCAGATGCGAGCAACCTGTAATTCAGGATTTTGCTGCCCTACTGATTCTTGAAGAGATATTGCAGATGGTTACATCAAAGCCTGTTGTTGAAACTCCTCTGTGGACACGTAATAAAGATATTTGATTTAATATATCTATTATTACTAAAATTTTGATTTTAATGTGTAAGAAATAATTTATATGTCCATATATTATCTTTACTAGCTGTACCCGCGACTTCGTCCGCGTAAAAAATGAAAAAATATTTAACTCAATTAACACAATATAAGCAAATTGTTAAAACAGTAGTAGCAAATCTGCTGTGAGTAGTATAATGCTCAAAGTCACAGGCGCCATCCTCAACCACCACTGGTCGACGTCAAACCTAGCGTCGATGACGGCATCAGTCAATTGACCAGTGAGAAGCACCGCTCATCACGCGACAAATATGAGCACCAATAAAAATGGTGGATACTCCACCCCTATGTAATTTAAAAAACGTTAAGTTGCAATAAACGCTTCATTAGAAGAGGTCACAGTTTCATTTAAATACACTCTTCCTTACCAAAAAACAAATTAACATAATTTCTTAGACCTTCGTACCCGGATCTTCATCAACCAGCAACCAGAGGAGGACAATTGTTGGATAAAAAGCAGCAACAGCACATCAATATATATAACATCAATAAAGCGCAGTTCGGTAAGACGTACCAGCCAAGATATCCCTCAACCTTCCTCTTCACCTGTGTTAATACTGTTTTTTCAACGTTTCTAGTGTCGTGTGTTAATACTTCACGCAAATTACGATCGGTGCTAGTGACTACAGTCAACGGTCAACGCTTCAAATTTCGCAAACGTGAGTACTCCATTTTCATACCACACAACCCCAATGATGGATCAGGCTAATTTATCAGTTCCCGTAAAATCCCCTACTGGATCTCCTAATAAAACTAGTGAATTAAGTCTATATTTACGCAAAAGAGGCGTCATTAAAGGTAGGCTAACAAAATTGCATAAATACATAGATCATTCAGTCCTTTTACAACCGTCTTCATTCAAAAAAGCCGAATTCAAATTTCGCATACAAGGCGCATCGTCTCTATTAAGCGATTTTAATGAAGTCCAGTCTAAAATTGAAGAGTATTCTGATGATATCGATGAACAATTAGAGCATAGGGAAGAATTTGAAACAAATTATTACGGTGTGATTGCTAGGGCTGATGAGTTGCTATCTGGTGACAAATCTACCGAAGATTCTCCTAAAGGATCTCTTAATTTAATGAAATTGCCAACCTTTACTTTCCTATGACCGCTCCTTTGAAAATTGGCTGAAGTAAAGGGATTGTTACCTATTACTAATACATATATCCTAAGAAATAAGCGCAATACAAAAATTTCATTATTTAAAATCATCATTGAAGGGTAGCGCTGAATTAGTTATAGACTCACTAGAGTTTTCTGCAGCTAACTATTCCGTTGCATGGGAGTTACTCGTAAATAGGTATGATAATAATGGATTACTAATTCATAACCACGTTAAAGCATTATTTTCAATCCAACCATTGACAAAGGAATCACCAGAGTTATTGAGAAAGCTTATCGACACTGTACTTAAGAATATACGCGCATTAAAAATTCTCGGTGAGCCTACTGAATATTGGGACACACTAATTATTTATATAATCGTTTTAAAATTCGATCCCATCACAGAACGCGAATGGGAGCAACACAAAACACTATTATTTTCAATTAATACCAGTGATTCTCAATGTCGGTTGAAACTTCAAAATTTGCTTGATTTCGTTGGTCGTAGGGCGGACATGTTAGAAACGTTAATAGTGTCAAACAAACCGATGCACAATAATATTAAAAAACAACACATTAAGCAGTCGCAAAATATACACTGTAACGTTTCTTCCATATCCACAAATAAACCACAACAAAATACAATTACACACTACAAATCCTGCCCTATGTGTCATTCCAAACATCCATTATATTCATGCCAGCAGTTTTTAAATCTATCAGTTTTAGATAGATGTAAAATAGTCACACAAAATAAATTATGCGAGAACTGTTTACGCTTAGGACACTCGGCTACTGACTGTCGATTCGGTCCATGTCGGCACTGTTCGTGTAAACATAATACACTATTACATCGAGATGACACACACTTGCAACGAGAGGTTTCTGATGGAGGCACGCAAAATAACGCTTTAACGTTATTCACATTAGATAACAAATCGCATGCACAGGTGTCGACTAGTAGTGAACCGGTCTTGCTATCTACTGCAGTGATTGGCGTACGGGACAAAAGTAAAAATTATGTCAGCGTCCGCGCGCTTCTCGATAGCGGTAGTCAGCGGTCTTTTATAACACAATTGTTGGCGCGCAAGCGACGACAGTGGACGGCTGCGGGGTCTGCGGGCGCCGCGGGGCATCCGAGCCGGCAGCGAGCCCGATCTGCCGCGACACCTCACTCGGCCATTCCGTGCATTGGGCACCGCACGCACTTCTCACTTTCTTAACACTTGTAATATATATATTCTAAAATACATAATCATACAGTCCACAACGTGATATCATTTCACCACCCTAACCGGGCCTAGTCAATGGTCCTTCTGCACCGGTATACAAGCCGTCTTAAGCAGAGCCAAGCTGTATATATGCAAGTCAGAAATTTGAAGACCGACACGTCGTGAATAACGGTCGCGAGTTGGACTTCGAGTATCTCTTCGTGGAGTGGAGTCGTCGCACAGCCTACATAGAAGAACCGACGTCACTTGTGGGAGTATTGCATTGTATTTGAGTGAGTCCGTTCCAACTAGACAATTTTCTTATTTCTTAACGTTGCCGAAAAACTCATTCTTTACTATTCAAAACTGCATTTCTATCCCTCTTTAAATTATTTATTATTTAGCTTTGCCCTTATTTTCTTATACACAGTCACGTATAGCTTACATTACTATATACATTGCATTCTATTAATTTGCGCGCTTAGAAGCAGCTAGTAACAGGCGGTCCGGTGCATCGACCTTGCACTCGACCGTGTCATTGACCGTGCGTGACATTTACCTGCGCTTGCGCTACGGACATAGCTCTTAGTAACAACCGGTACGGTGCATTGACCTTGCAGTTGAACGTGTCGGTGACCGTACGCGACCTTCGGCCCCTTCTTTCGGCTTCAGCATTTTCTTAAGACTTTAATATGGCAGATTCTATTAAAACATTAATTAAAAAACGTAGTTCTATGAAGTCTAAAATTACAGTTTTTAACAATTATTTAAATTTAATCAGTAGTAATGCGGATATATCTCATTTGCAACGTTTAGACTTGGAGGAGCGTTTTAATAGGTTCGAGGCCATGTATCAAATTCAAATTCAAATTCAAAATATCTTTATTCATGTAGGTCTATTACAGACTCTTATGATATGTCAAATCTACCGTCAGTTCGGAATGATATCGAGATGAGAAGAACTGACAAGAAACTCAGCTCGTATTTTTTTCAAATAATAGTGGAACATGTTTATAATAAATATAGTTTTTAAAATTCAAATTTGGGAGAATAGAGTGACCACCAGCATATGCTATCGCAAAGAATAAAAAATTTAATCAGTGTTCACAACCTGAACAGACCAGTCCCCACAAGTAGCACCCGTTCACGAGTATGACGTATGAGCCAGCCATCATTGTACTCAACCATATTTGAGGGAGCACATCGACCCGGCCCACCACGCCGCCACAAGTTTGAACTTTATAGCGAGCATGACTGTTTCAGGTTACTCCACTACGTCAATTATATTATTTACAGCATAGGCTGTACCGATCACAGTTTTCACCCATTACAATATTAAATTTACATTATTTAATTTACAATATGTCATTACAAATTATAAAAAATCATTTATAATAAGTTTCTTTAATGTTATTACATTATCCATGTCAATGGGAAAAATTATATGCCTCATAACAAAAGTTAAAATTGTAATTAAGTCCACACATTGTAGTCATTTAAGTAGTCGTTTATTTTATAATAAGCTTTAGAGCAAAGTGTTTTTTTACATGTATCTTAAATTTGCCTTCATTTAAATTTAAAACACTATCTGGCAATTTATTATACAAACGTATACAATGTCCCATGAAAGATGTACTTACTTTTTTGAGACGATAACTAGGCATATTTAATTTATTTTTATTCCTTGTATTATAAGCGTGTAAGTGACTATTTTTTGGAAATAAATTTAAGTTTTTGCGTACGTACATAATATTTTCATATATATATTGACAGGGAACAGTAAGGATACCTGTTTCTTTAAAGCGTTCTCTAAGAGATTCGCGACACGGTAGATTATATATTGAACGAATTGCTCTTTTTTGTAATATAAAAATTGATTCTACATCAGCCGCTCTTCCCCACAATATAATACCATACGACATTATACTATGGAAGTAACTAAAATACACTAGTTTCGCTGTTGCAGTATCAGTCAACTGTCTAATTTTTCTGATAGCAAAAGCAGCCGAGCTTAGTCTTTTGGCTAATGTGAATATATGTGGACCCCACTGCAATTTATTATCTATTACAATACCAAGAAACGAAGTCTCATCAACAAAGTCCAAAACATGATGATTCAGACTAACAGTTGTCGTTACTTGTTTTACATTTGGTAAAGAGAATTTAACACATTTTGTTTTCATTGAATTAAGCGCTAGATTATTTGATGTAAACCAGTTTAGAACATCCTCAAGAGCAATATTTATATTATTAAAATCCTTTGTATTTCTTTTCACTTTGAAAATAAGTGATGTGTCATCAGCAAACAATACTATGTCAAGTATGTTTTGAAACTGGTATGGTAAGTCGTTTATGTAAACAAGAAAAAGAAATGGGCCAAGTATAGAACCCTGGGGTACACCCATTTTTATAAATGACCCCTTGGACTTACTTCCTTTAATGTCTACCACTTGAATTCTATCGCGCAAATATGATCCAATGAGTTCGCCTTCTCTGTCAAATGATGTCGCTTTATCAGCCGATACTATGCAGCTTGCTACTTCTGCGCATTGTCTACTTTCCACAGCATTGGTGAACGTGACCAACGCTACGGGCAACAAGTGCACGGCACGTCTACTGCTGGACAACGGTAGCACGGCGAACTTTGTTACGCAGAGCCTGTCGGAGAAACTGGGTTTGTCACAACGCGGTACGAGCACCAAGGTAACGGGTATAAATAGTCACGTATCGATAAGTACACAGTCTTGCAACCTCACCATAGAGTCTTTATGCTGTGCTTACAAAATTGATATCGAGTGTCACATTTTGCCTGAAATTACAAAGGTCTTACCGTCTTCGTTTGTGCATGTCAGGCATGTCCCTATCCCTGCAGGTCTTCAGTTAGCGGACCCGAATTTTAATATTCCGTCGGTCGTAGACATTCTGGTAGGGGCCGAAGTATTTTGGGATGTCCTGGGCAATAATTCAATTCATTTAGGCAAACACTTACCGACATTGTGTGAAACTAAATTCGGATGGTTAGTTTCAGGTAGGATTAAACAACCGGAATGTTCGTACTCACAGTTTTGCAATCATGTTAATATTTCAAATTCACCAGATATTACTAAATTTTGGGAGTTTGATAATATATCACCTTATCACTCTTTGTCTATTGAAGAAAAAATATGTGAGCAGCATTTTGTAACAACTACTTATCCCAAAAATGACGGTCGTTTTGTAGTTACTATGCCTTTAAAAAACGATCCTAGTACCTTAGGTCATTCTTATGACACAGCAAAAATTCGTTTTTTGTCCCTAGAACGACGCTTTCAACGATATCCATCATTTAAAAATAAATACATGGAGTTTATGCGCGAGTATGAACGATTAGGTCACATGACGTTGGATTCAAACTATACTACTTCAACTGAGGACACCGTAGTCACTCACTTCATTCCACATCATGGCGTCACTCGTGAATCTAGTGCTACTACCAAATTGCGCGTAGTATTTGATGCATCAGCTCCTACCAGTTCTGGCACGTCACTTAATGACATTCAGATGGTGGGACCTGTAGTTCAAGACGATCTATTATCCATTTTAATACGTTTTCGTCAACATAGGTATGTAGTTTCGAGTGACATTGAAAAGATGTATAGAGCAATAGAACTGAATCCAGACCAAAGATCTCTTCAAAAAATTGTATTCCGGTTTGACCATAAAGAACCCCTAAAAACTTATACATTAAACACACTTACATATGGTACCGCTTCCGCTCCTTATTTAGCTACTAAATGCTTAGCTAGTCTGGCGGATGACATTCAGGATAATCGAGTCAAGTGTGCAATACAGCGAGATATGTATGTTGATGATTACTTAAGTGGGGGAAGCACAATCTCGGAAACCATCGAGGTAGCTAAAAAGTGCAGTCTATTCTTTCCTCTGCTAAATTTAACTTACGTAAGTGGCGTTCTAATCATCCCACTATTTTAGCACAACTCACTAACAGTCATGACACTATGAATACACCCCTAGAATTTTCTGAGCAACATTTAATCTCTTCTCAATCTAAAACACTAGGTTTATATTGGGATTGCGATTCGGATTTGCTCACCTTTAGAATTAACATTAATTCAGTAAATAAGGTCACTAAACGTCATATTCTTGCAGTAATAAGTCAAATATTTGACCCACTGGGACTCGTCGGCCCGTGCGTAGTCGAAGCTAAAATCATTCTGCAACGTTTATGGTTAGAGAAATATGACTGGGACGACGAAGTATCTCTCGAGATCAGCAACCTTTGGTCTACATTTCAAAATAGCATGTCCTCGCTTAATTGTTTAAAGATTCCTCGTTGGGTTTTGCATGAAGACTCTATCATTCACGAAGTACACGTCTTTACCGATGCGTCCGAAAGGGCGTATGGAACGTGTCTATACATTAGAACGTGTAGTGGTAGTGGTTCTATAGGTGTACAGCTTCTAGCTTCTAGAAACCGCGTAGCGCCAATTAAACCAACGACAATGCCGAGGCTTGAACTTTGTGGAGCTTTGTTAGGTGCAAGACTGTGTATCAAAGTTCAAAAATCATTGACTATACCTATCCATAAATGTAGATTCTGGTGTGACTCGACTATAGTATTGGGTTGGTTGTCAACTCCTGCTAACCAACTTAATCCTTTCGTTAGAAACCGAGTGCATGAAATTCAAGAAAGCACATACGGTCATACCTGGAGCTACGTACCGTCGTAGGACAACCCGGCGGATATTGTTTCGCGTGGAGTAAAGGCCGACGTTATCGGAACTACCCCTTTATGGTGGTCCGGACCTTCGTTTTTACTTAAAAATGAAAATGAGTGGCCAATAATGCCAAACAAAACGAAACATGATTTGCCGGAAGTAGTAACTCATTTTATTAGTAGTGACAATCAATCATGTAGTAATTCATCATCTAATAACACTCATTCATTATTGATACAACATTTATTAGAAAATCATTCAAGCTTAACTAAAATACAAAGAATAATAGCATACATACAAAGATTTATTCATAATTTGAAACATAATAGTAACAAGTTGTGCGGCAATCTCTCTACGAGAGAACTGCAAGAATCATTAATTTATATTTTACATATGTCACAAATTGATATGTTTCCAAACGAATTTGAAATTCTAAAATCTGGTCAGACATTGCCACACAAAAGTAGACTACTTGCTTTGACACCATTTTTAGATAATGATAACATTATCCGCGTGGGCGGAAGACTTGACAATTCCCCTTACGACTTTAACATGAAACATCCTATAGTTATATGCAGCAAACATAAATTGACAAGACTTATATTTCAAATGCAGCATATTAAATTACTCCACGCCGGTCCTCAATTATTATTGTCTCACATTCGTCATACTTACTGGCCTCTAGGAGGCAGAAATTTGTCTAAATTAATTGTAAAGAAATGTGTTACTTGTTTCAGACATAAGGCTAAAAATGTCCAGCCTATAATGGGTCAGCTGCCGTTAGCTAGGACACAACTTGAATTCCCATTTCTACATTGTTATGTTGACTATGCTGGACCAGTATTGATAGCTAATCGTAAGGGCCGCGGGAGCAAACTTTCAAAATCGTATATGTGCATCTTTGTTTGCTCTGCAGTGAAAGCTGTACATTTGGAGCTCGTCACAGATCTCACCACCAAGGCTTATATGGCCGCTTTAAATCGGTTTGTGGCACGTCGAGGTAAGCCTCGAAGTATTACATCCGACAACGGTACGAATTTCGTTGGCGCATCCAATGAAATGCAAAGGTTTTTGCGTACCTCGAATGTCGCATCTGAAACGGCACAGCAGGGCATCGAATTTATTTTCACGCCTGCCTACTCTCCTCATTTTAATTCATTAGCAGAAGCTGCCGTAAGGTCCTTTAAACATCACCTAAGACGTATATTAAAATTAACTCATTTTACCTATGAAGAGATGACAACTTGTCTCATTCAAATAGAAGCAGTTCTAAATTGTCGCCCTCTCACCCCCCTTTCATCAGATCCTAATGATTTTTCGGCTCTTACACCCTCACACTTCCTAATTGGACGGCCACTCCTATCTGTGCCACAACCACAGGTGACTGACACTGACGTCAACCTCTCGAGACTGGACAGATGGCGTAGAATTCAGCACATACGACAACATTTCTGGAGACGATTTCATAATGAATACATTTCCATACTTCAGGCAAAAACAAAATGGTTCCATTCATCAGACGAGGTGAAACTTGGAGCTCTCGTCCTGATCAAGGACAAGACAGCACCTCCGCTACTGTGGTGCCTGGGTCGGGTCGTAAAGATCTACCCTGGCGTGGACGGCGTCACAAGGGTGGCCGAACTCAAGACGAAGATGGGCACCTTTCGTCGTGCCTTCAACTGCATCTGCCCTCTTCCTGAGCATTGAAGACATCACTTCAACCCCGGGAGTCTGTTGGCGCGCAAGCGACGACAGTGGACGGCTGCGGGGTCTGCGGGCGCCGCGGGGCATCCGAGCCGGCAGCGAGCCCGATCTGCCGCGACACCTCACTCGGCCATTCCGTGCATTGGGCACCGCACGCACTTCTCACTCTTAACACTTGTAATATATCTTCTAATATACATAATCATACAGTCCACAACGTGATATCATTTCACCACCCTAACCGGGCCTAGTCACAATCATTATGCAATAAAATAAACGCACAATTAATACAGTCCACTTATAACATAAAGGGTGTAGGCAGCGTCGTTACACAGTGCACACAGACTTGTAACATTAATATCAGGTCCCTGTGTAGCTCCTATGCTGCCAATATTCAATGTTTAGTGCTACAACATAAAACAACAAAGTTACCATCAACATCAATAAATATAAGTAATATTTGCATTCCTTCTCATATACAGTTAGCGGACGCAACATATTTCGAGTCACAGTCGGTCGACATCCTATTGGGTGCCGATTTATTCTGGGATCTCCTTGATGAAGGAAAGATTCGTCTTGAAAATGGTCCATTTATACAAAACACAAAATTAGGATGGATCATTTCGGGACCTATATATACCCACACTCCTAAATACTCACAAGTTTCATAAAATTTTACTCACACATTAGACTCACAGTTGCGTAAATTCTGGGAACTTGAGGAATTACCGAGGGTTACTAGTGTACTCAGTATTGAGCAAAAGGCTTGTGAGGAACGCTTTACAAGTACCACAACGCGCACAGAGGAAGGCAGGTTTTGTGTGCGCATACCTTTCAAGGATAGTCCTAAATTAGGTGAACCATACTCTCAGGCACTGAATCGATTTCATGCACTTGTGAAACGATTACAACGCACACCTAATTATAAACAATTATACATTTCATTTATGCGGGAATACATTGAGCTGGGGCATATGTCACGAATACACACATACAATACTCCACATTACATAATGCCACATCATGGTGTTTTTCGCGCCCATAGTACCACAACAAAACTACGGGTTGTATTCGACGCAAGCGCAAGTACCACCTCGGGTAAATCGCTTAACGATTTACAACTTGTAGGTGCACCTATACAAGGCGATCTAACTGCCATATTATTACGCTTTAGGCAACATCGGTGGGTGGCATGCGCAGACATCGAAAAAATGTATCGTCAAGTGTTGCTACATAACGATGACCGTGACCTACAACTAATATTGTGGCGCGAAAATCCCACTGATGAGATAGGTATATACCAACTCAACACTGTGACATACGGCACAGCATCAGCCCCATTTCTTAGCGTAAGGTGTTTGAAAGAATTAGCGTCTACAACTACAAACACAAACGTTAGTAGAATTATACGCGAGGATTTTTAAGAGACGATTTAATTACTGGTAACTCTGACAGCAAATATAATTTAACTCACACATGTAACGAGATTAGTCGGATTTTGATGACAGGTTGCTTTCCATTACGCAAGTGGATATTTAACTACAAAGAGGACTCGTCATCAACACCATCACATAACTCACACGCTTCAAAGGAGTTATCACTCGGCGATAATGTGCATCAAAAAACATTAGGCCTCGGTTGGTGTAATCAATCTGACACATTTAACTTTTGTACAAAATTCAAAATCGATTATGAAATATTAACTAAACGCGTCATATTGTCAAAGGTTTCTAAAATTTTCGATCCGTTAGGCATGCTTAGTCCTTTTATAATTATCGCAAAGATTTTATTACAAAGGCTATGGTTATTGAAAGTTGGCTGGGATGAACCGCTACCCAATGACGTCACTCACCAGTGGTTGCGATTTGTTGATAGCATTCCAATAATTAAGAAAAAAAATATAACGCGACACGTAATAGGTAACAATTCATTACGCATAGAATTGAATATTTTTACAGACGCATCACAGGTTGATTATGGATCTTGCGCATACGTACGCAGTATAGGTAACGATAATAAGATTACAGTCCGATTGTTATGTTCAAAAGGAAAGGTCGCGCCTATAAAACCCACCAGTATTCCGCGTCTCGAGCTGTGCGGAGCTTTGTTAGGTGCTAGGCTATATGAAAAAATTAAACAGCCACTACGATGTAATTTTAGTAATATAGTCTTTTGGACCGACTCGACTATTGTTCTCCCTTGGTTACGAATGAATCCTAACTTGTTAAAACCATTTGTACAAAATAGGACGGTTGAAATACAGGAGTTAACGCGCGATCATTCATGGCGGCATATATGTGGTAGCCAAAATCCAACGGACATAGTATCCCGCGGGGTGCCTACTTAGATACACTACGCACTAATAATTTATGGTGGGAGGGACCGCCTATTTTAATTTATTCAAAGTATAACTCATCAACCATTTGTTGTAGTGAGAATGAGGACAGTTCAGGTCGTCTGTTGTCTGATTTACCCGAGGGTAAAATAATCAATTAAATAATTCGCACAATTTATCAAATTTCAATTTATTTCTAGATAAAAATAATTTAGTTAGAGTAGGTGGTCGGCTTAGTAATTCTACTTCATTTACTTACGACAAAAAACATCCCATATTATTATCAGGCAAACATCAATTTACCATACTACTGTTTCCTGCGGAACACAAACGTCTACTGCACGCAGCGCCACAGGCTCTCTTGTATGCGATAAGAGAAGTATGGTGGCCGATTGGTGGGAGAAATAGTGCCAGACAAACCGTACATAATTGTGCTAGATGCGCTCGCTTTCGTGCTAAACCGCTAACACCTCTTATGGGTAATCTTCCTGTGCAACGGGTAACCCCTGGATTTCCATTCATGTGTTCTGGAGTCGATTATATGGGTCCGGGTTATATTTTAAATCGCAAGGGCCGGGGAGCACGCGTTATAAAGGCATATGTTGCAATTTTCATTTGTTTTACTACTCGCGCAGTTAATTTAGAATTGGTAGGTGATTTGTCAACAGATGCGTATTTATTAGCTCTCAAACGATTTATTTCTCGCCGTGGTAAACCGTCTGACATGTTTTCAGACAACGGCAGAAACTTTGTAGGACTCATGAATGAATTTCAAAATTTTCTCTCTAATTGTTCACAAGATATTATTAACTACGCCTTATTCTCCTCATTGGGGTGGTCTGTGGGAAAGTGGTGTACGCTCATGCAAGAATGTATTGCGACGCGTAGTCGGTAACTTGCATTTAACATATGAAGAGTTCAATACGGTATTAACACAGGTCGAAGCTGTTTTGAACTCCCGTTCACTTAGTCCTATGTCCACAGATCCTCATGACTATTATCCCTTAAGCCCAGCTCATTTCTTGGTCGGTCGTCCGCTGACTGCGCCGCCGTGCTCTGATGTTCAAGACTTCATGCCATCAAACTTGACACGATATCAACGGGTAGAACATATACGCCAACATTTTTGGACAAGGTGGTCCAAAGAATATATATCTGAGATACAAATAAGGAACAAATGGAAAACTCGCCAAGCAGACCTGAAGCCAAACACCTTAGTGCTCATCAAGGACGACCACTTACCTCCATTAAAGTGGCGTTTAGGACGCATCATTTCCACTCTCCCGGGCAAAGACGGGGTATCAAGAGTCGCCGACATAAGGACGGAGACCGGCATCGTTAGGCGGGCATTCTCTAAAATATGCCCTCTTTGGAACGAAGAAGAAGAATTGAAAGTGGAACCTTCCAAGGCCGGGGGCATGTTAAAACAGTAGTAGCAAATCTGCTGTGAGTAGTATAATGCTCAAAGTCACAGGCGCCATCCTCAACCACCACTGGTCGACGTCAAACCTAGCGTCGATGACGGCATCAGTCAATCGACCAGTGAGAAGCACCGCTCATCACGCGACAAATATGAGCACCAATAAAAATGGTGGATACTCCACCCCCATGTAATTTAAAAAACGTTAAGTTGTTGCAATAAACGCTTCATGAGAAGAGGTCACAGTTTCATTTAAAAACACTCTTCCTTTACAAAAAATAAATTAACACAAATAAATAAGTTTCATCGTTTTAGCTTCAAAAATGATAAAAAATAAAAATAAATATTTAATCAATCGGCTAAAAAATAAATTTCAACTTTCTACCTTTAAACATGACGATACATCTATATAACCTTGGATCTACCCTTTCAATCCTCTTGCAACCCTTTTTCACATTAAAAAGTAACCTATATCCTTTCTCAGGATCTAGTCTATCTATGTCTGTTTCAAATTTCAATTTAAATCGGTTCAGTATTTTTGGCGTGTAAGCGAGACAGACAAGTTACTTTCACATTTACAATATCAGTAAGGTATTTAATTCACTAACTCTAAAAAGACAAAGAAAAAAGTTTAATCGTTCCAGCTTCCACAACCACAACAAATTTCCACAATAAGTTTCATTCCCTATTTTATTTTAAACCCCCCCCCCCCCCACCCCTATCATATTTATTGATATTTAAACAACAACCTAAAAATGAGTCTCAAACTTCTAGTTTTAAAAAATTGTATTTCTTCTACAATCCCTGCCCTCTTACAATCCTTTTTTCACATTCAAAAGTATCTTTGTCCGGGTGTAAACTAACTGTGTACCAAATTTCATTTAAATTTTTGTTTTGTTTTGGAGCGTAAGACTGACAGAAAGACAAACAGAGTTACTTTCACAGTTATAACATTAGTGGGGTATTTAAAAATCTACCCCAAAAGAACCAATGAAAATAATTTCATCGTTCTAGCTTCAAAAATATATTGTTGATAATATAATAATAATTTTTATTATTATATTTTATTTGGCCTTTATAAATACTCGTGAGTTATATCTTTATATTTTATTAAATATTACTTTTGTTTGTGGTAATTAATATTTAAAATAAAGATGTCGAATCCTAATGATACGGTGAGAGCGTGTTTATTCAGTGAGACTGTTGAGTATCGTCAGTCAATGGGTACTGTTCGATTAATCAGTGACTGGATTACGGATGCTTATACTTTGCTGCCTTCTGCGTCACGTGATAGGCTTATCGTGCGACTTTCTGAACTGAATGAGAACTATGCTAAATTTAATGAAGCGTGTTCTTGTCTCCTTGGTGGTTTGGACCCGGTGATTGATACAAAGGAGTATAAAGA